GGGAGCACGTGTTGGGGCTTCTCTTGCGGCGTCGGAGCCCCTGTGTCAAACGGCAGTTTCTACCGCGAGGGCCTTCTGCGGCTCAGGTGGGTGTTGCCGACGCCGCCCCCTGCGCTTCTTGGGGGGGCATTTGTCAGTAAAAGTTAAGCTCTCTGCCGTTTTTCAGGTAAGGATAGCCAGGACCTGTTTTCCTCTGCTCTTCCTCCCGTGTTCTTTGCACGCCCATCTCCTGGGTTAGATATTTTCGAGCTCAGAAAGCACATGGGAGGAAACGTCATGCAGTATGTATGTGCTGTGATACTATGTTAAACACTTTCCGAGTACTGTATCATTTAATTCATACAGTGTAAAGATGGGTACTGTTAATGTTATCATTTTCGCGGGAAGAAACGGTCTTAGACATTAAATTAATCGTCCTTGTGTTCTCTTCAGCGTGTCTCTGACAACCTAAATTGAGTGTGGCATTCGGCTTCCACGGACGGTAAATTAATAGATGGTGTTGCTCGTAAAATGTTGCTCCTGTTTTCTTTCCTAACTTGAAATTATTTTAAAAGTCAATACAACATACCTGAAAGTGAATTCATTGATTATTGTTATCGAAGTGAAATTTAATAGAAAGACATCGGAGTAGGAGCCAGTTACTAACCTTTGACTGGATAAGTCACCTTGAGACTCGTCAGCTACAGAATTGAAGTCAATACCAAACCTGACTACTACTTAGAGTTGTAAGGATCACATGAGATAATGAATTTAAAATATAAATTACTGATGTAAACTACATTTGACTGTTTTTCAAATTCTTTTCTGTGGGGCCTAGAGTATCATTGAACCTACCTGACAGAATAAAATAGTGGTAACATTCAGCCAAGTACCACTCAGGTGTGAAATACTGCTTAAGCCTATGTGGACCGCCTATTTGCTTGCCTAGGGTTCAGGACAGTATTCCCCTGTTAGTGCAGAAGTGTTACTTGTCTGGTTTGTATTTTTACCTTAGACTGCTATAGGTAGCATAAAGCAAGTCAGCCCACATATTTTTTGTTTGTTTGTTTTCTCTGTGGAAAAAGAGAACTTGATTTTATTCAGAAGTCTACAAAACAAAAAAGGTGGATAACTTGCTCACTGTAAATCAGAAAATAAATTCTGGGGGCCTGGCAATTTTTTTTTTAACATTTTTTTTCTTGTTGCCATCCCAGTTCACATTGCTTTTCTGAGTTTTTTTTTATCTCACCTTGGATCATGATACATGCAGTTTTTAAGTTGTATACTTGTTTTAACCTAAAATCATATCTACTTTTTCTGCAGCTTTTATTATTAGTTACATATAGGACTGAAGATACTGATTTTTTTTACTTTTTTCCTTTAAGTTTTTTTTTTTTT